CTAGACGTACGAGCAGCACGGCTTTTTTGTTGTCCACGGCACACATGATGTCACTATGAACTATAAAAATTAAAAAAAAATTATTAAACGTTTAATATAAAACGTGTAGTTGGTGCCTGGGTACACATCATAAACAAGTCTCGAACTTTACTAATTACATTCAGTTGGCTAAACAGTACCAGCATTTAATTTTGGAACATGCGTTTCTACATTTCTATCGCTACTATGTGTTACATTAACGCAGAATTACATCAGAACAGTCTGCAAAATGTAATCAGGAGAAAATGGATAAAACGAGTGGAACTAAGCGAGAGACATCGTTGTATACGCCTGTCAAGCCAGAGTGCGTTTTGTTTAGTCCCACTCGTCGACTAAACGCAGACAGTCGGCAGAGTTGAACCTCTAACTCTCCCGACTGTCTGCGGCAATGTTTGCGTTAGTCATGATGAAGTGTTTCCGTATCGCTGCGTATTGTCGGGGAATGATCGGCGATGCTCTTGGCGTTTCCTTTTGTCGATAAATCAGGTTTCATTTAGTTTGTATCAACGAAATGAAAAGGTTCACTGAGAGAAATGATCGAGATCCCACCAAGAGGCCAGTGTATTGCAATTTGTTGTTACGTTTATAATGTTTTGTTTTGGCAGAAAAATAGACAGATTCAAATTCATAAAATACTCCCGAGAGATTCCCTAGTCAACAACTCGCAACGTGACCGTGTATTAACATTCGATAATGCCCGCTGCGATTTGATAATTGGCTGCTACGTAAGAAAGTGCCGGCACCTGGATACGAAGAGTTTCTCCATTCTGATTGGTCAAGAGTCTGTGTGCGCCTCGGCACTCAGGTCTCACCACGCACGCGTTAAGTCCATGGTAGAAGAACCCTAGGCCGTGTCCTAAACAGGGCTTGCAGAGGGCTCCCAGTTTAGTGTCCTGTATCTTACTAACTTTTTAATTCCAACGATATACGTACCCTTTTTAGTTTTGCTGTATATTTTAAATGCATAAACAGTATGCATGTAAGATTACGATCTTTTAAGATATTATAATGTTGATATAGCTTGGTGGTTACAGTACGGTAGATGAGACGACGGGGGTCGTTTGGTCAGCTTTGGGCGCACATACCGCCAGACAAGAATATATTAGCGGATATTGTCTGCGCTATATCAATCTGGCAGCCAAAATACAACTGCAATGCATTCATTTCATAGACGTTCGTAAACCAGCGAGATGCAGTCCCCATCCATGTGGACTAGTCCCCGTCCCTATTATATATAGGGGAACCGGTAACTAGCTGGCTTTCTGGCTCTGTGGTTCAATTCTGCTCTATATATAGCAATAATGTTCATATCCCGTTCATGCGCATGACAGACAAATACAGTATCGCCACTTAAAGCCTTCTCAAGACACAATGCCTGCTTTGGTTTCAAATGACAATACTCAGTGTTTCGTCTGGCACTGACTTTCCAAGGACGTCTCCGGGGTTATCGAAATCGCTGTTTCCGGATGGGTTATATCCCTCATGCGTCCATGCATCTAGAGAGTTTTCCAAAGTTTTGTCACGTGAAGGTGTTGCATTGTGGAAATCGATATATACTAATTTCTTTATTAACATAAAACCGGTAGGATTCGTCCGGAATCATTACCTGCTACCTGTCCCTACGCTTGGAGGACGTCTGTGAGACGTCTGGAGACCACGTACGGGACGTCCAGCTCAGGCAAAATTCGCTTGTCAAGCTTAAGAACGCCTTGTCCTATTAAACACATTTGGCTCACTGACAAGGATTTTGCATACCTAAAGATGTGATAAGATATTCTGCGGTTTATCTGCGATTTTCTATTATTTGAGTAAATGATAAAGAAAACATATACTTAACATAATCAAAATGTTCGAATATTAACTCCATTATTTTACTTAACTCCCTTTTATTGAACATTAGGGTACACTCGTATACAACCACCCTTGCTAAAAATAGACTTACTAGACTTTCATTCTCGAAACAAATCTGTTATAGACAACAGCACGATGACTTAATGGGTGTGCCTACTTAGCAAAATACTTAATCTATCACTAATATTACTGGAACACAACAACGGATAATATTGCACCAGGAGATATAAATTGCCTCATAGAAATTTTAAGTTACAATGGTGAGACGAAAATGAGAAGAGTTTATTTCCAAATTGCGATAAGTATCATTTTGATAACTTTCGCAAATGTACCCTCTGTTGGTTGCCTGCAGTCAATTTCAACAGCTTCTAGACAGATATAAATGACAACTTTAACGAGTCAACAAAGTGAAACAAGAAGTTTAGGGACAGATTGCACACTGTTCGTACTGTACACTTCCGCAGTATTTCATAATTGCGAATAAATTGCAAGTGTTTCAAGTGAATATATCTCATGTTGGAAATAAACCTTTTATATAAAGACATTCTTCGATAAAACACGTCTTTGATCTTAAATGTTTAAAACATTGGCATCAATGAACAATTTTGGCGGGATTGAAAAAATTGCCGTGTTGTCACTTTGGTCTCAGCCTATGAAGGAGCAACAGCTACAGTCGGGTTCTTCTACAATTTTTTTCCCACGACTGACCCCTTCCTTCCCCGATAACTAGTAGGTGCGCGAGAGTTAAAGATCAGCCCCCTGATCTAGAAGGGGTTTTCCCTAACCAAAGGACTTCCCCAAACCAAAACTCAGGATTTCCCCGGGGCTTCCCCACTTCTCGGGAAAAACTTTCTGCCCTGGAGCTTCGAGAAAAATGAGATTAAATTTAAAAACCTGTATATAGAGACATGAATACTCCACCAAAAATCACAACGTCGTCCTATATTATCGGACTTTCGGCGATTGAAAAAATCGCTTTTAGCCAACTTTGTCAAACAATACAACATTACATTACCACCAGCCTGAGCTGGTAAAAGCGATTCAATCGAGCCAACGGCAATTTAGAAATCTCACGAGACAGTTATATCACCAACCTTTACAGACAGCACAAGACAATGACATTGAATCTACGGCCACGAGCACAAAAAAGACACAATTTTGAGAACGGACCTAATCACCGCAATTAAATCGCACCCTAAGCCGCAAGTACTCGAAGAGGTAAATACACGAAGAATCAGGCGCTTTAAAGGAAACTACAGAAACTGGGAATTAACGCCTGCTTTATGAAAAATATATGCAGGACAAACCGTTCGCCGATTTTAAAAAGATGTCGGTTCTTATAAATTTTAGACGACTATAAAGGTCAAGTTCAAAACAGAAAAGCCCAGCGCCGAGACTAAACCAGGCCTTTTCACATGAACGAGTAAAAACAGCGTAGATATTTCACAACATCAAATAAAAGAATCGTCTAACGTACAAATAGCCAAGCATCTCGAAGACGTGGAATCTCATTAGCAGAGAGGCTCGGGCTCGGTGTTTTATAAAGTCGTTGCATTTTACATCAAAGTGGTAAAGTATGACCCAGTAGGAGCGACTTACATTCAACTTCCAAAATATTTACCAGACAAGAAAGCAACTATCAACATTCAAAATAAAGAAGATAAAGAGTGCATTCGTTTGGCGTTAAAATTATATTCAGACCATGTCAAAAATCAACTCGAAACCAACCCAAATTATAAGATATACAACGAGTGCACCTCGGCGTACACCAGAGACGACAGCTGAAATTTCACAAACTTAGACTTTCCAACACCCGTGTCGCAGATTACACAAATAAAATTACAAAACAACTTAGCCATTAACGTATTTGGTTACACGGAGAAAGGAGGCATCTACATACTTTGTAAAACGGAACGCATTGGCAAGCCCATAAATTTACTCTACTTTACCCGAGGTGAAACGAGTCATTATTGGGAAAACTAGCCATAAACATGATCAAAAGGTTAGAATGTTAACTCAGTGTCAGTTCCTTTCGATTTTTGTTCAATTAGACCTAAGGTCATTTTATTAAACATTTAGGGTACACTCGAATACACTCGAATACACTCACGCTTGCCAATACAAGAGTAACTAATGGGAATGAATGGAGAGCTATAAAAAGTTGTTTATTTGATAGACCTTATTTCTGAAAAAAATACACTTGAAGATAAATACATGAGGAGTTTACGGTAAATGGGCACCTGGCTTTGTCTAGGTAACAGCATAGGTAATCTATCGCTAATATTACTAAGACACAAAAATGTACAATATTGCACCAAGAGACACAAATTACCGTGATAGGATTTAAGCCACAATATTAGAAGAGTTTATTTCAAAACTCTGACTGTTGCCTACAATAATTTTTACAGCTTTTAGACAGCTAAACACAAATTTAATTGAGTCAACAAAGTGAAAGTGAAAAAGACGTCGAAAGACACATTGTACACTGCTTAAGTTCGTCAATATTTCCTAATTGTGGAAAACCTGTCATTTTTTCAAGGAATAATTGCATTTAAAAACAAACCTTTTATTTGGATAAAAAAGACATTCTTTCAAAACACGCTTAATCTTTTATCTAAGGTGTCTAAAATATTTACAGCAACGAAGGGGGATCATATTTATTTACAGAAAAAGATTGAAACAGACAAATTTAATATTTTCCTTCTCGGTGCTATTGTCTAGCATCGCTTCACTCATTCTTCGATCATACTATCAAAAAAAAGGACAAAGGACAAACACAGGCTTTGTTCTTGCACGTTCAGAGTGTTTACCTGCTTTTGGCGTATTAAACTATCCAGACTATTTGTGTGAAAGGATTTTATTGATTGTTGGCGGTCACGTGTATCCTTATATATAAATAAGAGCCTCCATTTGCAGAAAAATGTTTCAAATTGATAGCAATTTTCTTCCTTTTAAACGTTTTGAAAGCAGCCGAGTTTTACTCTTCATTTCCGCTATCGACCAAAGCTGCTGTTATATACATCGATTAAACGTTTCACACTTAGTACGGTTGCTAAAATGTCGCGTGTGCTGACGTCATGACCACTAAAAGTTGTCATTATACTAACCGTGTGCACTAAAAACCTCGCCAATAAATTTATCCCCAATCAACCACTAGTTATCAAAATGGTCCCTAATCAAACTTGCACAGCTCAGAAACATTTGAAAATTTTCTGCTTTTCAAAAAGTCTGTCTGTTCCTCGACACTTAAAAGTAGGAAATTCCTTATTTTTGGGTTGGGTTTGCAGAACTGCTGGAAAACAGAATTTTCATTTTTTTCAGTAATTTCACTTAAGATTTATGTTTACACATTTTTAGTAATAAAATCACAATTTCAACACAACATCACTATCTACGATCTTTTCGTGCACGATTTCAGACCCAACCAGCGTACAAAATTCTGCCGGAAGTGCACTACGAGAAGTGCATAGAGAAAAGGATTGATTGTCGAGTTACACCACAACAAATAGTTCATTGCTGTCCAGGTGTTATGAGAAATGCATTCCGGGCATATGGCAGAAAGGATTGACGCAATGTAGAAAGGCAACCACATTGCTACGAAGACGCTTACCAGAACCGACAGTGTCACTGCTGCCTTCCTGTGCCGCTTGAATTCTTTACGTGTGCCTCTGTGAACTTGGTCGGGTCTAATGTTCTGTCTTGTTGTCCCGCCCCGTTCCCGAGTTTCCTTGACGGCAGCCATTGGACCCCTGCATTGTCGGTCAAGCAAGTATCAGCCGGCATCTGGCTTTGATCTGACTGACGATGGATAATTATATCTTCAAGTTTCCCGTCAAACCCTGCGTTACTATGACCCTCTGCTGTTCTCAGGACAAGCATTTCCTGGGGAGGGAAATTATCGTTGCTCGCTCGTTGTTCGTCAGTCGACTGTTCTTGTGTGTTGCTCCCCTCTCGAAGTGTTGTTCTCGCGGTTTTGTGTCCGGCCGGCAAATCGCCAGACTGCCGAGGCTTCTGAAATATACCCCGTGATCTGCGCTTGATGTTGATGTATACTCGAGCATTGAAGTAGATAATGATCAGCAACGGAATGAAGAACTTGGAAACTATTTCAAAAACCTGAAAGCCCAGGCTTTCCAAAGATTCAAGTTCACAATCGTAGTCATAATCTATTTTATCACCGCCTGCCAACGGACCCCACAGAAAAGATACCGTGGAGTAAAACAGCAAGTTGATAAGCCATGACGCAATGATCATGCTAGCCGCGCGTTTGTGCGTCTGGAAGGTAGCATAGGTGAGTTTTTTGGTCAGCAACCAGTATCGATCAAGGCTGATGAAAATGATCGTAAAGACGGCAACATGGACTATGGTGTAGTCCAGAGCGAGCCATATCTGACAGGGGATCTTCCCGAAGGGCCAGTAGCCCAGGACGATCCATATAGAGGCCAAGGGTAGTGAGACAGCACCGACTATCAAATCGCAGACAGACAGACTCAGTATAAATGAATTGGCCACAGTAGACCTAATTCGTTTGTCTCTAGTGTAAGCAGTAATCACAAAAATGTTCCCTATGACTGTCATTGTGGAGATGATACCGAGTACGATGGAAAGAGTTACCGTTTTCGTGAGACAAAACACCGGTGTTTCTTCACTGCAGGTGTTGGTGTCGGTATCATTCAACTCCCAGGACGATGCATTGCCCATGGAATCCATTTGTGCTGTTCTCAGTGGCTTTCGAACAGACAACTTCACATCTCAACTATCCACCTATCCTTCGTTCACCGCTCTCTTCAGCTCACTTGGCGCTTAGCTGACGCATTCCTTTTATAGCTAGAGACATAGGCCTACCTAGGGTTTATCAAGCCACGCCTCGTCGGTATATTACATCCTGTGTACAACAATGACTTTCTCGATTGGATTTGACTGTACAAGCAGTTGGTATTGCAGTGACTGACGACAGTTAATTTATCTTAATTGTGACACCCTTCTAAAGGTTCCCTAGGGAATTTGTAAATTAATTCAAACGATCTTAATTTGATGTCCTCGAGTGCTGGAGCCATGTTGATGGAAATTAATCGAGGAACCTCAACAACACAAATTATGAAAAAAGGCATTGGACTTCGCTGTCTTAAAATTGAAATTAAATCTGTCGTTTTGAGGGACGGCTTCCATTTATTGGTTAACGAAGAAAAATAATAAAACCTTGCTTTACAGATAAGGAATTCATAGAGTACATTTTGTTTTCTTTAGCAGTTTTGTTTTCCCACTTTTGAAAATTTAGCAGTTGCTTGTTTTCAAACGGAAAAAAGCTGGAAAAGTGGTTAAATATTTTTATTTCAAAATGTTCGTGATAACTACTTCTTCCGTATGTTGGAAATCTGCATTCTGTGAATAATATAAACCAAACTATTCAGTTTCGTCTGGAGTGAAGTTTATTTGCTCTTCAGCAATATTTTGTTTATACCCAAAACGAATCACTTGTGTTGAAGGAAGCTGATTTTCGAAACCAAACACAACTTGAACTGTTTTAAAATTCCATGCTGTATCCACGAAGTAACATAGTCATGACCTATGACCTTCTCGCTTATTATTGGCGACGTAACATTGTTTATAATGCAGTATCTGCGGTATCTACACCGAAAAACATTACCCATCACCCAAATTACAGTAAACGATTCCACGTAATGGATAACTATTATTTGTGGTTTAAAAGGACTTCCTGCTGCTATTTCCCTTCAGGCAAGTAAGATGAAGTGGCGTATACAGCCTTTTGTGGTCGGGGGAAAGGGCTAATTCGAAGTCGAATGCGGCTTCGAGTAGTTCAATATGATTTCGGGGGAAAAATTCAAAATTCCTACTGTCTGTCGTGGTGTTGTGTTCTAAGGCCTTTAACGCTAATATTTGATGAATAGGTCTACGAATTACTTTCTTTCCTGCTCAACTATGAAGTATAAAAAGATTGGTCGTGGTGTTGTTTTCTAAGGATTTTGGCGCTATTATTTGTTATACTCAAACTCAAAAAGAAGGAAAGCGGGCAAACCATTTGGAGTGTGTGTGTGTACCACAGCTTCGATATGGATTTATTCACAAACTCCACCAGAATACCAACATATTGGGCAAACCGGTACATGAGGCAGCACCTGCGGCCACCTCGCATAAAACCATTCACATTGAGCTGAAACCTGTGCAAAAGTGATACCCATGACCACGAGAACTCCCCAAGGCACAAGTTCCAAGTAAACGCCAAATGATACCCACGATCACTGAGTCGAGAACGTCCAAAACGGCTCTTGATTTATTTAATACCAGGCACAATATGATAATTAGGTACTATCAACCTAAAGAACACAAGAGTATAATATTTACTAACGCTAGTTTTTCATGCATAACATAAAGAAAGAAACTTTTACGAATTGACCCGGTACTTGTTTTAAGAACTGTAATAAGTCAGTAACTTACAGTATCATGCAATCTAAATTTCCCACTGCTGGAACATGCGGCCGGGTGTAGCCCGTGTGGAACGTCACAGGCTATTAATAAGATACATATGTGTACTGGTATTAATAAATTGAACTATGATGTTCAACTCCCCATGGTCATGCCGTGTGGCACATCACGGCGCTTTACACAATTTAACTTACATTGATGTATTGACCAGGTAGCTTGTCTTTTTTTTTAACAAACGAATGGTGTTCCATTCTTATTCCGAAAAACTGCCAAGCCATAAATAAAGCACAAAGCAGAAACGAAAAACCCAGCCACAGGGACCGGGAGGCCTATATGGGGGAGGAGGTGGCTAAGGTAAATCCACGTTGTTGGATCGCTCGAAGCAGCGACGAAAGTGGCTGGCGAAGCATGAGCGACGCATGCTGCTGATCAGCTCACTCGCATTGACCTAATAAACCTGTGGAGCTTAATGGCCAATGAATTTGGCAGGCTGCCCCCCGCAATGATTGGAAATCTCTGGATCTTTGTTCTGGCTCAATGCGCCACCCCATTTCGCCTAGACGCTACTATTACACGACAGGCGCCCTTCGAATTTCAACACACAATCTACACTCAGCACAAACATGTTTTCTTTTTTCCTAGAGTATAATGAATTTTATCGCTAAGGTCGATAAAATGTCATAAATAGGTAAACCGATTCCTTTCTTTCCTACTCAACCATGGAGTGTTTAAAAAAAATCGTCGGGGACTATCCCCATTCCCTCTGCTGAATACGCCACTTACACGATGGGTTAATTACTGCCTCAGAACAATTTCGACCAAAGCTTCAACTGAAACACGAATCCCTGAGGTTTTGGCTTTAAGGTTCGGTAAACACTTCTCCTGCTTCAGTGAAGCAAGCAAATTACTCTTAGATGGCTAAAAAAGGAAGGAAATTTTAGTTTTGGACAATGTGTGTCTATTAATTTAGCCCTTGAATCAACATGTTACAAATCTAGAGGACCACGTTACTTTGCCAAATATGGTAAGTAGGGTGATTTGCTTTGAAATTGGCCAAATATCTGTTCTGATATAAAATAAAACAAGTCTCAAGTCTCCACTTCGGCTGTTCTTGCAATCACTGGGAGACTAAAGTCAGGCTAAACTCAGTAAGCCGTTTTGATGCAAGAAGATATGATTTACTGCTTATCCACAACGAAAGGCTAGAACGTTCTTCGTATCTCATCATCCGGATGGATCAAATGAACACTTTTTTAAAATTTAGTGAAGCCTCATTGCTGAATCAACAGCACAATTGTGGCACTTCTTGAAGCCAACTCAAGGAGAATTAGCCATAAGATTCATCTTCTTCGATCGGGCTATGTTACAATCAGTGTGAATTTGTAGACATAAAAAAACGAGGACGCGACTACGGACGTTATCGAAATGGAGATGCACGAGCCAAATCCACACAGCCCTTTTATTTTCTTTTTTGACCAAAGGTCACAATACCGCCATGTAACAGCGCAAGATGGAGAACTTCACCGCCAATACGCACGTCACGGTAGCGGAACGATCGTGCACGTATGATCATGCCCCCAAAGACAACGTTCATTTCAAGCGCGCATGCGCACCTCATTTTCAGGAGACAACATTTCTTTTATGCAAGCAGATGCCGTTATAAAGCGGAGTTTTTCAACGACTGACTTTGAAAAATACCTAAGTGTAGAAGCATAAATAAATTTCGGGAGGATCTAAACGCTACACAACTAACAACACACAGTTTCCCTCCATCAGGAAGATTTTGAAATAAATGAAAATCTCAGAACAGTATATAAAGAGTGGATTTCCCAGACCCTCTCTCACAACGAAAAAAAACGAAACTAGTGAATTTAATTAGAGAAAGAAAAAATCGTTTACAGACATATATACAAGGTACTGTAAATTGCAGAATACTTAACCTAGCTGTATATAACTAAAACACAAAAATACACAATATTTTACAAGAAGACATCAATTTCCGTAATAGAATTTCAAAAGTGCCAAAAGGAACGACGATGGATAAGGCACAATCTTCCTTTTTTATGTTTTCTTTGAACACACGCTTAATCCTCGATGGTAATTATTTGAAAATACAGCAATGAAAGGGAATATTACCATAAGGCCCCTATCACATTAAATAATAAGTGAAATTTCTTTTTTCCTCTGGTACCGCCGTCTTGCACTGCTTCACACATGCTTTAATTCTACTATCTTGCAACTGAAAGGAAGATGTTACACAGGTTTTGTTCTTGCAAGTTAAGAGAGAGTTTTACCACTTCTCGTCCCCTTAGACCGTATTCAGACTCTTTGTTATGTAAGGATTTCGCCTATTACTCTCGATTGGGTTTAACCTATCAGAATTGACAACCCCCAGTTGCAGTCAAAATAGACGCCTAAAAAGTTCCACAAACACAAGGCAAGTTTAATTTCAAATGAATGGCGAGTTCATAAACTACCAACGGATGGTTGTTATTTTTCTTTTGAGAAACTACTGGGATTTTTCTGTCCATTTCTCACTTGGGCACAGTACATGTACAACATCAGTATGTTTTTACAAATGCACAGGTTGGCTCCAAGAACACTAACGATGTAATTTATACTACTTTAGGATGGAAGGGCCATGCTAAGAAACGGCGATCTCGTGCTCACAGGAAAAAATCACGATTATAAAGTCTTTTTACAGAGCAGATTTGAAACTGATGGCAAAAATGATGTAGGCCTAATAGGATTTTCTGAAGAAAATACTGAACAAAGCTGCTCCTGTACCATTTCAATGGCCCGCTCACACGTTTTGCCGCCAAGGCCATATTTGGGCATGCGTGCGTAATTATGAACTTATTAGTGAAAAAGCGTATAGAAAACGTGTGCAACACCTAAAGAGAAAAGTGGCAGCTATAATCTCATGTCAAGCGACCCCTGATGATGTCATTATGACGATTTCGTTCTGAAGCCCTCTATCATTTTACACATTTCAATCGTTGACAGTTCTTAGGGTACAGTCAAACACAGTGACGTTTGCCAATAAAGGTGTTTATATCGTGAATGGGCAAAGAGTTAAAAGAAAGACATTCAAAAACAAATGTCTGAAAATCACTTAAAGGCGAGTGGCTAACGGCTGATGTGTGCAGGGTCTTATTAGGTAGCAGGATACTTAATCTATCCGTAATATTACCAAAACACAAAAATGCTCTATATTGCACAAGGAGACTGAATTGTCGTGTTAGAATCTAAGCTACAGTAGTGTAACGAATATGTTTGAAAAACTCGCTTAATCTTTGATGGTAAGCATTTTGAACAACATTCGTTATGTATAACTCAAAACAGAAATTTAATATTTTTGTCTTCAGTAATGCTGTGTAACATTAATGCACTCATTTTTCGATTCTATTATCTGGCAGCTGACATGGGAGATTTTACAGAGTTTTATCCTTTCACGTCCAGAATGTACGAGTGCTTTTGGGCCGTTGCAAAGTCCCAAAACCTAATCATGGTTTTTCACTCTTAAGGTTCTTGACCCGAAATTTTCAATAATGGTATGGGACGTCAGCCGCATTGGAGGAATTGGCAGCATGAATGATCTTTCTCCACCATTTGAGCTACATTATCGGCAAAATCTGAACTCGGACTTGTTTGTAATCCTTAAATACACTACAGTGAAATATTTAACACAGGATAATTATATGTTAACTCTAGCATAAACAGAAGTTAATTTCAAAATTGAACAACAAGTCTGAAATTCGAATATTGAAATTTCTTCACAATAAAATCATCATAATCACTGAGTAAGTTAAAGTTAATCTTCTCTTGCTTCAATTAGAACCCCCCCGCCCAAAACGTGTCCACACAAGATGCCCCAAATGAAATATAGGCAGTGCCGAAACTGGCCCAAAATTGCACACCGAAATTCGAGTACAGTGCCCACAGTATTAAATTACTATTTACAATCACCAGGAGTGGGAGGAGATTATCGGTAGTTCCCGCCCGTATTTGAAGGGAGTTTTCCTGGCTGTTTTTGTCAGTTGCTGGTCCGCAGTCTAGAACGTATAGAGAGAGCGCGCGAGAACTTTTCCGAACATTGTTAATAATCTCGTCCATGCAATATGGGAGGTAATTCCTTCAATAAAATTTTGATGACCAACACTTATGACCAATTAACATAACAAAGTTCAAAACAACACCAAATAGTTATAAAAACAATTTTACAATGGGGCACGACTTGGAGTTAGCGGAGGGAGACACAGCTGGATCCAGGTGACCAGGTTTCCCTACCGGCCTCTGATGATTAATAATGACAGCCCTCGTCCGCGGAGATCCCCACAATACTATGGAGACAAAGCATACCCTTATCTCTACTATACATTATCTAGCCCGCTAGAGTCCGAATTCACCTTAATTAGGACATCACTTATCATTTACTAGGTACACTGAGTGAAAGGAAGAAAATTTTTCAACAACTGGCTTTCTTCATCTGAATCTAAATAACTCAGCTGGGAAGAAAGTGACTTAAATACTTTCCTGTACAGACACACACCAAAATAAAAGAACCAAAATTCTCACAGGTAAAGTTTAAGTAAGGAAAAAAAAGAATTTGCTCTGGACAATGCGCAATAAAAGTCACCGATATACCAATCGTGAGCTCTCAAAATCCCACAAATACATTTATCCTATCCCGAATTAACAAAATGGTCCGTAATCGAATACGGTTCAGGAACATTGGACTGTTTTCGTTTAAAAAGGTGTATATTCCTTGACACCTAAATGTACTTGATTCATTACTGGGGAGTTTTGTTTGTAGAACTGGTGCAAACCAGACAATGTGATTTTCAGAGATTTTTCTTGCAGATGTATGGTGGCACGTTCTCACCTGTAAGTTCGCAATTCCAACACGACAAGATTGCTACGTATGATCATTTCCTGCAAGATCTAAGTCCCAGAAAGCGTAAAAAATTCTGCCGGAATTGCACCACGAGAAGCGCATAAAGAAACGGATTGATAGTCGAGTTACACCACAACAGATAGTTTACTACTATCCAGGCGAGATCAGAAACACATTCCTCGCATATGGCAGCAAGGAGTGACGCCACGTAGAAAGGCAACCACATTGCTACGAAGACGCTTACCAGAACCGACAGTGTCACCGCTGCCTTCCTGTGCCGCTTGAATTCTCGGCGCTTGCCTCTCTCTTGGTCTTGTTTACTCCTCTGCCTCGATGTCTCGCGTTTCCGGGTTTCCTCGACGCTTGCTAGTTGCCCTCCTTCGTTGTCGCCCAATCCAGTGTCAGCAGGCGGCTGGCTTTGGTGTGACTGAAGACGGATGGTGGTCCCGTCAAGTTCCCCATCCAACCCAGTGTTACTATGAACCTCTTCTGGTCTCGGTAAATACGTTTTCTGGAATAAACAGCGACGGGACCAAACATTGCTTGGTGTGTTGTCGTTTATCGACTGCTCTTGTGACTTACTCCTCTCACGAATTCTTGTGCTGACGTTTGGTATCCCTACCGACAATTCGTGAGAATGCCGAGGCTCCTGAAATATAGCCCGTGATCTGCACTTGATGTTGATGTATACTCGAACATTGAAGTAGATTATGATCAGCAACGAAATGAGGAACTTGGAAATTTCAAAAGTCTGAAAGGGTACATTGTCGAAGGATTGAAGTTCACAATTGTTGTCATAGTCTATTTTATCACCGCCTGCCAACGGACCCCACAGAAAAGATACCGTGGAGTAAAACAGCAAGTTGATAAGCCATGACGCAATGATCATGCTAGCCGCGCGTTTGTGCGTCTGGAAGGTAGCATAGGCGAGTTTTTTGGTCAGCAACCAGTATCGATCAAGGCTAATGAAAATGATCGTAAAGACGGCAACATGGACTACGGTGTAGTCCACAGCGAGCCATATCTGACAGGGGATCTTTCCGAAGGGCCAGTAGCCGAGGACGATCCATATTGAATTCAAGGGTAGTGATATTGCACCAACTGTCAAATCGCAAACCGACAGATTCAGTATAAATGTATTTGCTACAGTAGAGCTAATGCGTCTGTCTTTGATGTAAGCAACAATTACAAAAATGTTCCCTATGACTGTCATTGTGGAGATGATACCGAGTACAATGGAAATAGTTACCGTTCTAGTGAGACAAAACACCGGTGTTTCCTCGCTGCAGATGTCGGTGTCGGTATCATTTACCATCCAGTGCGACTCATTACCCAGTAACTCCATCTGTGCTGTCGGATATGGCTGAAAAATATTCTATCACACACATATACAAGCTGTATCCTTCATGTGACCTCTCTCTTGCTTGTTTGCCGCTTAAATTAACTGACTTACGCGTTTTAATATACCTGGAGCCAAAGTCCTACCTGAGGCTTATGAAGCCACGTCATTTCTAATTATTTGATACAAATAAAGAAGTAAATTAAAAATGAATGGACAAACGGTTCCTGGGCTTGGACGAAGATATGACACACAACAGCCAATTTATTTAAATAAAATATGTGACGGACATTGAATTTTTCCCTAGAGAATTTGTCATTATTTTAATTCAAACATTCAAAACTTCACTCCATTATAGGACATGTAAAATGTGCAGGTGGGTGGTGGTGTGTGTGTGTTAGTGTGAACGTCTAAACGCCTTCAATCATGGACCTGTAACAATAGGTGACAATAGGGTCCACAGTTGCCAAAGAGTCCACAGTTGGAAAACGTGTACAAAACATATGGGAGGTCTTCCGAAAAAGCTGGAGTGTGAACAAAAGAGGAACAATAGGGAGTCCACACTTGGGTGTGTGAGGGGTCACTTTGCCCCGTCCCTCCTCCTGAATCTGCTCTTAGTAGTCGTGTTCCTCACGAAAGGTGTAGCAAATCATCAGTAGTTGCGTTATCAGCATTCTGCATCGCGCATCGCGCGGAGCGTTTTCGAGTCGTAAATCACATTATAAATTTCTTATTGCCATGTTTGCTTTTGCAAGGTGCTTCATTGAGCACCTTAGGATAAAAAGTAGACCGGAAAACCCCAGCATTTAATTTCTAAATACAAATTAAACCCAAATCAGTAAATTTTAAAAAACATTTTGACACGCTTAAAAATACGACATGTTAATATGATGAACACACTATTTCCATCTAATAAATGCAACCTATGTTTATGATTAAATATGTGGATGTGTTTAGCATATGCAATTATAAACCCTGTGCATTTACTACTTAAACGCCTAAACATGTGTAAAACAGGTTGAAACACTTTGTATACATTTTGTATACATTTTGACTGCACATTACTGGGCAGTGGCAAACACGTGTTCAAGTCATATGCAGTGACGTGAATAGTTGCAAGGCAAATGCTACTTAACATGGGAGCAAAATGGTTGAAAAATTATTGGCAGACCTTTTTTATTTTTCAGAAAATTATCACCCTACAAGATCCTGATATATGTATGCACGTTAACCTATAAGAATAGATGCAACTCCTTACAGTTCGATTTCTCTACATTTACAACTAACATAATCCAGCAGAAATGTGTAAGGGACGCAAAAAGAAATCGAAGTGCGCATGCACGTGCGTGTACATACAGCGAATGCACCTCGTGTCTTCAACGCTGGGCGGTACGCGTAATTTTGTTCCTAGGAAGGTTGGAGTAACTATAATAAAATGGGCAAGGTTGGGGGCAATTATCATAAATGGAGCACACACCATTTAAGCATGAGACACAACAAAATTATTTTTCTAGCCGACTCGATTGGTAGCTCTATTAGAAGAGCGTGTTACGAGAGGGTTCGATCTATATGTAGTCCCTTTTTTCTTCAGCTCTAAAGAGTATTGGCGGAAATTAATGAAGTTCACGTTATCAGCGGCTTTAAACAGGTGTTTAATGTCCTGGTGATTAACACTTCACGTCTTAAACACATTCACGTCTAAACGCACTGCGTATTCAAGTGTTTAGTTAATGTATTTAGAATATAAATTTATCAAACGTTCTTGGGTTATACAGTGGAGGTAGACTAATTAAGGGAAAATTGAGCAAAGATAAGTTATCAAGATGTTCTTTTTGTATAAAGGTTGTTTGGGTGAGGGTTTACCCAACGGTCGGAAACCCTGTGCCCAGAAATGGAGAAATTGATATCTACACCAGTTTAGGGCAAACCTTGGTCAATACGTATCAATTTTTACAATGTCGGCTAAAATCCATTGACGTCACGCTGGCGGTGCGACATTGGCAAATGACAGACAGTAGAAAATTGCACCTAATGGATAACTCTATAATTCATGGTTCAGAAATTACTGGGATGCAATTTACCCTGCTGGTAATTGTAGCTATTATGGCGTGTGGGTTAATACCTGGCAATAATTTTGACCAAACCTTGGACAAGTCAAGTCCCTAGCTGGACTAAATACATTCCGTTGGCTAAATTAAATACCAGAATTAATTTTTGACAATGCATTTCTACGAGGTCCTGAATTAATACGTTACAAGGTTGGAAATTTGACGCCACTTTGCGAAACGAGATAAATAGAGGTAGCAGGCCATGGGCAGTGCACACCAAAGCAGTCGCTACCAGTCTGCAGTGGATAGCGTGCAAATTATACATCTAAATTGCTCTACCTGCAGTTGACTGCGGAAATATGACAAGGAAGCAACAGCCGTCGACCGATATAAGGACGGAAGAACCATCAGGCATTAATATGGGTGACTCACATTGCAGTGCTCCACCAAGAGTTTGCCACAGACTAGGCACTTTTCAAGTCTACGGTTGACAACTGAGCCATAACTTACACCACAAAAATACTTTTGACAAAACACCCATTTTCCCGCTCACAACGTAGTTACTGAATGAGACTCTCGACTGTTGTATCCCTTAATAATGCACTACGAAAAAATATTTCCATGACAACCTTTGGTGAAACACTGCCTAATGAATCACAGCAGACGCAGAATTTATATATTTCTGGTAATGTAAGGCAGTTACAACCTTATTAAAGAGTTTCAAAATTTGGACACATCTTTCAAATTATGTTTGAAGTGTTGTTTTGACTGCGCTGCTAAATGCTTTTAAACCAGTACCCATAACTGTCTGTAGTTACCATAACCGTGACGTAAATCCTAATTTCCACAATTAAAGTGTAGCTGCGATGAAATTTTCTTTGACCCAATTTTTTGTTTCTTTGTACTTTTTTCAACATGTGAAAACTGTTACACAATCCTATAGCGTTAAATGCATCTCATCAGTGGGGAAAAGCTCCTCAGCGCTTTACCACTATTATTACCCCTGCTCACTGGGCCAATTAAACATTCCAAACACAATCTCAGCTCCCAAACAAGTACCACAGCTCGACTCAGTCATTTTCGGCGCAAAACAGATAAACCAACCTAAAAGCCATCTCAACCCTCAGGGTTACCCAATTTCTCCTGGATCGAGATGAGCGACAAAGTGCCCTACCCAAGGGCCCACGCACTATGAACCCAGGCAGTATTCGAAGCCGCAACCTAGGGCTTTACCCGCCGACTATGAATCCAGTAATCTTAACCACTTGGCCATGGCACTCCACAACTTTCTTGTTCAAGAAAGCATTGTGTACACTGCTTACTTGTTTACCCCCTCCATGGATCTGGATCAACCCTTGCTTCCACCATCCTCTCAAAGTCTCTCATTAGAAGCTAGTACTGTCAACGCTTGTTGATGTATTTGCGGATTACTTAAAGATGTCCTTAGATGTTCCGCAGTTGATCTGGAACTTAGCATTACTTATGCAAATAATTAAAGGGAAAACTAATTTAACAAAATGAAAAGGTTAGAATGTGTACTCAGTTCCTGTCAATTTTTGTTAACTTAATGTCCTTTTATTAAACATTTAGGGTACACTCGAATACAACCACGCTTGCCAATACTAAAGTTACTAGTGTGAAAGAGTAAAGAGTTATATTATTTACTTGAATAAAGAAAGACATTCATTCTTAAAAAAAAAACCCAAAAAACAACACTTGAATGCGACTGCATGACGACAGATGTGTACATGGCTTTGTCTAGGTAACAGAATACATAATCCGTTAGTAATATTACTACACCACAGAAAAGGCACAATATTGCACTAAAATACATAAATTACCTTCATGATATATTTTAAGCTGTGTTAGTGCGAAGTATAAAAGGAGAGTGTATTTCCAACCCGTAATAAGTGCCAGCAATTGACTGACTGCAGACATTTTCTACAGCTTTCAAACAGCTAAACACAACTATAAATGAGTCAACATAGTGCAAAAGAATTACAGGAACACAGTTCCCATTGCTTTAGGCCCTCGATATGGCATAATTGTGGCTCATTTTGGAATTAACCCTTCAATTGATAAATCACATTCTTCCATTAATGATTTCTTTGAAAAACTCGCTTTATCTTTGGCTTACAGTCATTTGTAAATGTTTAGGACCACCAATACAAAATATACCAACCTGAAGACAAACACAACCTAAATCAGTCAATCATGGCAGCTTAGGTTTATTTTCAGTATTTAACCATAGTATATTTGTTAAACCTTAAAGTGACTGCATTTCTATAATTCGTTCAAATTTGGGTATGCAGCATAACACTGATGTTATGCACCACTGTAAAATCATGTTAAATAATCATTCAATGAGACAATGTAATGCAGGCCCAGTGACAATAAAATTCCAGGTGTTCTTAAACTTTTGCAAATACATGTAGCTGTAGTTATTAAACTAATTTACAGCAATGAATTAAAAGAGAATATTATTACATACAATAATTCAAAAATTGAAATTTGATACTCTTTCTCCTCAGAACTGCTGTAACCACTTCACTCATTCTTTACTTCAGTATCTTGCTGCTGGCAGGAGAGATATTACACAGGTTTTGTTCTCGCACATTCAGAGTATACGACTGCTTTTGGTGCATCATACCTTTCAGACTATTTGAGAATAAGGATTTTGTTACGTTTGGCAGTTACGTTTGACGTCAAATAAAGTACATCCTCCATTTTCAGTCAAAATAGACGAGTCCAATTTCAAATCAGTTGCAAATTCATAAACTATCGGACAATTAGTTTTTTGTTTACTTTTGTTCGTTTTGAAAAGCTGCTGGGTCTTACTGTCCGTTTTGGACTTACAAGCAGCGCCGCTGTTCTCCACGTTGATCACAACTATCAGCAATCATCTGAGCGCGGTTACGTAATGTGTATGCGTAATGCGATGAGCTCTAATAAAGTCAACATTGCACATTGTGCGTAATGAAAACCTCGCCATTATATTCATCCCGTATCAACCACGAGTCAGCATAATAGTTCCCAGGCTAATCAAACTTGCTCAGATCAGCTTTATAGGTACATTTGAGGATTTTCAAGTCTTCAAAAAGTGCATATATTCACTGAGGCCTACACCTACCAAATTCATTATTTTGGGTTTTGTTTGCAGAACTGGTGGAAACCAGAAATGTTGATTAGTCAGAGATTGCTCTTAAGACTAACAGTGAGACATTTTCATTACAAGGTGGTAATTTCAACACGACAAGATCGCAATCCATGATCATTTCGTGCACGGTATCAGTCTCAACCAGCGTATAAAATTCTGCCGGAATTGCACCACAAGAAGCGCATACAGAAACGGATTGATCGTCGAGTTACACCACAGCAGATAGTTTACCACTATCCAGGCGAGATCAGAAAAACAGTTCTCGCAAATGGCAACCAAGAGTGATGCCATGTAAAAAGGCAACCACATTGCTGTGAAGACGCTCACCAGAACCGACAGTGTCACCGCTGCCTTCCTGTGCCGCTTGAATTCTTTACGTGTGCCTCTGTGAAATTGGTCAGGACTGTTGCTCTGCCTTCCTGTCGGGCGTTTCAGACTTTCCTCGACGGTAGCTTTGTCAGTCGCACATGTGACAGTTGCATTGTCGTCCAATCCAGTGGCAGCAGGCGACTGGCTTTGGTATGACTGGAGACTGATGGTTATGTCTTCCAGTTTCCCATCAAACCCGGTATTACTATGACCCCCTTCTGTTCTTGGAACGTGGATTTTCGTGGAATAATGGCACTCAACGTTGCTCAATCTCGTTTCGTCCATCGACTGCTCTTGTGTTGCATCTTTTGATATTGCCTCGTGATTTCTTGTGCTAACACTTGGCCCTCCGAATGACAATTCGCCAGACTGCTGAGGCTTCTGAAATATACCTTGTGATCTGCGCTTGATATTGATGTATACTCGAGCATTGCAGTAGACTATTATCAGCAATGGAATAAAGAACTTGAAAACTATTTCAAAAGCCTGAAAGGGCAGACTGTCCAAAGATTCAAGTTCACAATTGTTGTCATAGTCTATTTTATCAACGCCTGCCAATGGGCCCCACAGAAAGGCTACCGTGGAGTAAAACAGCAAGTTGATAAGCCATGACGCAATAATCATGCTAGCTGCGCGTTTGTGCGTCTGAAAGGTAGCATAGGCGAGTTTTTTGGTCAGCAACCAGTATCGATCAAGGCTGATGAAAATGATCGTAAAGACGGCAACATGGACTACGGTGTAGTCCAGAGCGAGCCATATCTGGCAGGGGATCTTCCCGAATGGCCAGTAGCCCAGGATGATCCTTATGGAGTACAAGGGTAGCGAGACAGCACCGACTATCAAATCGCAAACAGACAGACTCAGTATAAATGAATTGGCAACGGTAGCGCTGATGCGTCTGTCTTTGATGTAAGCAACAATCACAAAAATGTTCCCTATGACTGTCATTGTGGAGATGATACCGAGTACGATGGAAAGAGTTACCGTTTTTGTGAGAGAAAACGACGGTGTGTACTCGTTGGAGATGTTGGTGTCGGTATCATTCACCTCCCTGGCGGATTCATTGCCCATGGAATCCATCTTACCGGTTACAAAACACCCCACTGCTCAACTGTCCACCCATCCGTCATGTGATGCTCTTTCTTGCTTAACTGTCGCTTGACTGACGCTTGCCTGTTAATATACCTAGAGCCATGGTCCTTCCTAGGGCTTATCAAGCCACGCCGGGTCTATTTATTAGACGCAAATGACTGAGTAAATTGAATAGGGCAGGACAAATAGATTCCAGGCAAGGACGACAAAATGAATAACAATATCCAGTATGTGACGCACATCGAATTCTCGTCTGGAGAATTTGTAAATTATTTCAAACGCCCAAGTTACCATTTCCATTTTGATGGGCAGCGATGTGGACTGAAGTCGTTTAAAAAGCCTTGACAGAGCAAGGTGTGGAAAGGAAGCAATTAATTACAGTACTTTTACACACTCAGAATATGAAAAAAATTGATTTCATGTGCCTTTGATTTTTTTGCAATGGCTAACCCCATTTTGGCTGGGAACGTGTTAGTTTCTTCAAATGTTTATTTTCAAAGACATCACTTTGATAAATATTCTTTAGTGGAGTGGTTGTTCCACATGTGGCGGAACGATTTTCAACGGGGGGCGGGGGGGAGTTGTGAGACCTTCAGATATAATAGGCCAATCTCACCTCATTGTATGATCTGCAAAATGGATGTGTGTGTGCGAGGGGGCACTGGCCCCGCCCTCCGCGTCCGCCGCCAAAGGGGAGAATTTGACTTTAAGGGGTACTTCAGGTCAAGTCATTTNTTTCCGAAGAGCCAGTAGCCGAGGATGATCCTTATGGAGTACAAGGGTAGTGAGACAGCACCGACTATCAAATCGCAAACAGACAGACTCAGTATATATGAATTGGCAACGGTAGCGCTGATGCGTCTGTCTTTGATGTCAGCAGCAATCACAAAAATGTTCCCTATGACTGTCATTGTGGAGATGATACCGAGTACGATGGAAAGAGTTACCATTTTGGTGAGAAAAAACGATGGTGTGTACTCGTTGGAGATGTTTGATTTTTTTGCAATGGCTAACCCCATTTTGGCTGGGAACGTATTAGTTTCTTCAAATGTTTATTTTCAAAGACATCACTTTGATAAATATTATTTAGTGGAGTGGTTGTTCCACTGGTGGCGGAACGATTTTCAACGGGGGCGGGGGGAGTTGTGAGACCTTCAGATGTAATAGGCCAATCTCACCTCATTGTATGATCTGCAAAATGGATGTGTGTGTGCGAGGGGGCACTGGCCCCGCCCTCCGCGTCCGCCGCCAAAGGGGAGAATTTGACTTTAAGGGGTACTTCAGGTCAAGTCATTAGAAAAATAAAATGTTCCTCCAAATATAGTTGTTCATAGGTCCTACTGAGTGGAATGTAAAAGACATGTATGTATATACATGTATACTAGCTAATTACATGTAATTATTCGTAATAATTTTCTTAGGGTAAGCACATTAATTTTATCGAATATCATCTCTGGGGGAAAAAGTAAAAGTATGCAAGCCTAAATAGTCAATGCAAATATGTTACAATGTTTCCAGCTAGTTAATTATTCATATCCAGCTAATTACCTTTTCATAAGTGCTACTAACCTGCATCGAGTGATTTCCCCTAAGGGTGAAAGCAGACTTATTTTTTCCGAAACTCATTTCCAGGGGATACAGCAAGGTCATAAATCCAAAATATAAAAATGTACTGGTCTTCAATTACACTATTAGTTCAAAAATAGCTAATCATTTATTCATAATCACTGCCAACTTGTGTTTTGGACAAAGATGGATTATTCAGATGTTGGTCATTCTTAGTACACTTCTCAAAAGAATTAAAGGAACAAGAGAACAGAATGACACGCATGATTGCATGCACCAACATTGTCGAGTATTGTTGGAGAACCAATAGACAACACCTCACTGATTTTCACATAACTTTAATGCCTCTTGATCTAACGGCAGCCCACCATGACAAAAACATTCTGTTCTCTTGTTCATTTAATTCTTTTAAATAGTCTATAGAAGTAGGTTGAGTAAGAGTTTACCCAACAGATGAAGGCATGTGACCAGAAGTTAGGAAACTGATATTTACTCCAATATAGGCCAAGGCGTGGGTCATATTTGCCCATTTTTTAACAATGTACGAAAAAATCATGGACGTCACACAAGTAGATCTTCTTCGGTGCGGCAGTGGCAAATGATGATAGACAGTAGATAATTGCACGTAATTGATAACATTATAACTTGTGGTCCAGAAAAAAAACGTAGGATGCAATTTACCATGCAGGCAATTGAAGCTATTATCGCGTATACAATGGGTTACTACTTGGCAGTAAATTTCACCAAACCTTGGACTGAGCCAAGACATGCCTAACGTTCTGGCGTTGGGGTCCGTAACCAAATCTACGGCTGACAAATTACATTCATGTGACCCCAAAAATTACAAGAATTTAGTTTTGGACAATGCGTTTCAAGAGATACCTGAATTGATATGGTAGAAGTCTGGAAAATTGACTTCACTTTCCGAAATGTGTTAAAATACAGCTACTTCCTTTAACTTGACCCAAAAAAGTCCCAAGTCGACGTTTCAGCTATTCTGTTTTAGTAGGCTATGAAAGGCTAAATTCAGTTGTTTCGATGTATGACTCTGTAACTCCAGCGAAGAACGTTTCATGTATTTCATCACACGAATAAATCAGACAAACTCAACTCTCATATTTACCTACAAAGCTTCAACCAGCATTTCTAAGACAACAGTATAAGAAAAAACTGTATTCGTAAGGCAAACATTATTCAGACTAATTGTCAACACAAAAGGAAACTTACCAGCTTCTTGTAAATGCAACATTATCCTACCTATAACTCACTGCATTCACAGCGGTGTCGAGGAGGATTATGTGGAAATAATTGGTTTTAAACCAATAGTTTAGCGACTTTTTTAAAAATTTGTAGGTATGTTTGTGCAAGTAAATTCCACTGCTATATTTGAACTATGATAAAATGGACACTGAAAACCGTAGCGAATCTGAAATCCCCAAAGACTTGACCAAGCCGAGATCCTCTGTGATGTTGTCGGTGTGTATGCTTTGGATGTAGAGGCTGCACACGTTACTTGCCTCGCACCCTCTTGTGTCCACTGTTACTGTGAGAAACCTCGACTTGACGAATCTGTCAACCGTTTGTACAAAGCGTATCAGCTCATCTACCAAAATTACCCGACAGCCAACTAAAATGCCGGACTTGTTTTACATCGTTCATACCTGCATTATAATGAATGAGTCTATACGAATCTGACTACTGTGATTGGTGGAAATTCAGTATATGAAAGATCATGTCGCATATATGCAATTATGGATAGTCATATGCGTACCTCCGACGGGGTCCGATTGTTATCTGCCAGTTCGGACTTTAATACTGACTGGCGTTATGCATATGACACACGTTGTACGATAATGGCTATCAAATTAGGGCGCCTTTTATGAGAGTAATGTGACGTGACCTGTGTATAGGCTGGTGAAAAGATGGCTGACTGGTGAAGAGCAGCGTAAGTCCAAATTGATTCAAGTCCAGAAAACCCCATTCATGCACTTTTTCATGTGCGCGTCAACACTTGCGTCAAGCGTTGCGCATCCGTCAAAATCGCTTTCCGGGCGTTTTTTTTCTACAAGGAACTGAGTGCTTTAATTTAAGTAGCGATCGAGATTGAGAGTTACACACAAAGGTATACAAAAGTCACAACCACCTATAGTCAAAGGAATCTTTGCAAATATTAGAATATTGAGACAAGCACCATTGGCAGTTACTGCTTGTGAAATTTCAAAATCTCGAATTTCAATGGCATTACGTTCAGTCGATTGTCGAAAACATTTCTCACTAATGAGATTGATATTTGCACCAGAGTCCAACAGACAAGATAGTGACTTAGATCCTAATAGTACATCAATACAACAGCCTTGCATTGTCCTATCTATCCCATGATCATTCTTTACCTACAACTCGACGACCAGATCTTTTGTTTGTATCACAAGTAAGAGGGCATCTTAGTTTAAAGGATACCCTTGAATGTGAAATCTAGAGTAAAACTCAAATTGTCTGTGACCCAGTTTACCATATCGATAACAAATCAATCTACTTATTTGGGAGTATCGGTTTAATGAATTGCCATTACAATACTGTAGCGAACGCCCCAGATTAGCTCCATCTTATATTACTCGCCCCGCCGGAGCCTCTAATCAATATGGACTCTTGGAGACTGTGGCTCCGGAAATGAGCTATTTTAGGAAATTCGGCCTGCAAGACTTGTATAGCAATGTCTAACAATGGATCAGTATCTGTAAGCGCGCGAGGATGATTGGCGGCTGGCCAGAATTGTATAACATTGTACGAGATTTATGGGCGTGCGCGGGAAATGTTGCAGTGGACTGACGATCCTGTTCGGTTTTTGGGAAGCTGGCTGGGTAGGCAGTCAAGTTGGGTCTGGAGTTGTTCTTTAGTGAGTGTTGTCCGAAATAAAAGAACGACAGAAAAGTTTCACTGTACGACGAATCCAGAGGTGTCCCGTTTGTCTTGCGTTTGGCAGCAAGCGGGGTAAGCGAACCCAGGAAAGACTACGCTACAATACTTTTGCATACGAGGTCCAGATTGGCCTTGCTGAGTTTTGGTCTTTGTGGCTTGGTTTACTATTTCGTTAACTGCCATCTGTATTTGAGCGCTGTCATTAACTAACTGCTGGATTGTATCAGCCTGGTTAGATTGCGAATTAGGCTCAACAGGCAATTGCAAAACCTGTGTAGAATGCACCATGGACGATGGCGGGGCTGGTGTCTCTTGACACAATTTGTGAAAGATGTGCATAATGAAGTGCACAGTTCAAAGATTCGGGTTCTTTTGAAATAACGAAAGCTTTAAATCGTGGTTGTAGCCTAAGCCCCTAATGAAATGAGTTAATTTCTCTTGATCCAGTTTTTGCAATGTGTTACTCGAAGATATATCTGAAAAATAATTGTTTACTGATTCAGATTCTTCGTGAACACGGGAGGCTAATTTGGTTTCGTTTACCAATTTCTGGTTCTACCCGAGAAATTGTCAATCAAGGCAGCCTTTAGACTTTCATAAGAGCTTTTCGTACCGTCATCAGAAGTAGACAACCAAATCGCTGCATTACCTCAAGTCTAAGAGTCAGTGCAAAGTGTAGCTTATCAGAGGCGAAGTCACGTAGTTTGGCATTCAACTCAAATCTACTAAGAATTACATTAAGGTTTTCATTGGGTAACCCCGAATACATATCTTTAAAATGCCCTTTGTATTTTGACATGGCTGTTTCGTCAGTGTTCGTTTCGTCATGAAATGATTTAGTTTCTTTTTCCATAGGTTCAACAAATTTCATATTTTAAAAATGGTAAAATAATGTATGTGGGACACTTCGCACAATGTAACATACATCAATATTGTCATATACAGTTAAATAAATGAGAAATAACAACATGACTCTTACCTAAATCAATGCGTCCGGAGTGGCCGTCAGGCTGGCCTCGGGACGTCTCGAAAGGGTGTGTCACACCGTATACGGGGATCTTCCACCATATCTTATGAGGGTCGATCTGCCCCGGGAATGTGACCACTACATGATTAAAAGAAGTCTGATGAAACAAAATATGCTATCACACAAACAAAAAGATAACTTAATAAAACAAAACTTGTTCCACACATCACGACGAGACTTGCCTCGAGGACAGCCTGACGGCCACTGCCCTACGGGGCCACGCCAATTTTCCTTATAAAAGCCGAGAACCCTGATCTATGCTAAATCACATTCCTCACTGGCATAGGATAAATGGTTTACATAACAATATTACCATTGTACCGCGAGCTTTTAGGTCGTTTTACAGTCGCATAGAACTCTTTTACATCAATGCAAAGTCTGGACTCAAGTTCAGTTTTATTGTGCCGAGAACGTAATGCGGACTTCATACACGCGTGCCAGCAACTCAGTATCAACCTAGAACGATCTTAAATTTTTTCCCTAGTTACGTCGGGTTCTAGCCACGTTTTAATGAAATTTTACAATATGTCACGCTGGAGTGTAAAAGGGACAGGTAGGTGAATTCAGATTTGTACAAGCACCTTTTAAAAGTTTGTTCTGTCATTATCTATTACACATTTTTTTACATTTTATACACTTTGTGACTCAAATATTAAGATGACGACATGTGTCTAGAGACTTTTGGCAGTTTCAATCCTTTAGATCAATCCTATTACACAATGGAATCAACGGAAAACGTTCAATCATCCCAACGTAACGTTTATACAAGAACCGTTGTGCCTGTCTGTGGTGGGCCCCCTCAAATGGTCAGTTAAATAATCAACTATTGGGTAATTCATAAATAACTAGCAAAAGAAACTAACCTTCATCGTCTCAAAGGTGTATTCTGAAAATTGATTGATTTATTTCCTCAGATTTAGCAACTGAAACGCGGCATTAGTATAATGAAAATGAAGAGTGTCGGCAGAAAAAAGTATAATGCATAGTGTGACGAAACAGGGGTAGGCATGGATGCCAGTCTAAGTAATTAATTATTAATGCATGCTTCGACCAATCAGCGGTGCGTAGAGCGCTAGGTCTGGGCGCTCGCAGCGTGCTTAGGGTGCGCACTGTTGGTTTCGCTGCTGGGTCGTAGAGTTATAGGATCGCCGCCGAACGTTGTGAGCTGTACATTGCGCCGACTGTGAGGCAGCGTGGGACATTGCACTAGAGAGCGCTGCGTCGTATCGACTTGTAGGTGGAGTAGAACATGTAGTAGTAAACTGTTCATTGGGTCTTGGTTACAGTGGGAACAGTCTAGAGGGTAAGCTGTTAACCCTTGGCTGAGAGCTAGTGGTACGGTGATTCGTTGTGGATTGCTTGCCGTCTGTGAACACCGTAGGTGGCGCGACGGCTGGTTTGCGATCCGGGTATCATTGAACTGGCTTTCCTTGAGGGTTACTTGGAGCGCTCTGGTTCCTGTAGGTGTTATTATCCCTTGGATTAATTGGCCCTGGGTAGTGAGGGTTATTACCCCTTGTTTGATTAACACTCCACGTAGATTATCACTGCTTGCTAGTAGTGTGTAACCTTGTCAATATTCTGGCTTATGTTAGAGTTGCCAACTTGCCATGTGATTAGGTTTACCACGTGAGGCTTATTGAATTGCCTTGTGAGGTGTATTGTTTAAATAAACCTTGTGTTTGATAGCCTCGTTGATTTATATTTGTAATAAACCTATTGTACTGATTAATTGTCCGTGAAATCCCGTGTCACTGTGAGGTTTATTAACTGTATTTCCTTGCTCTGAAACCATGAATTTATCAACAGTGTGAACTGTGTGGAAGGAGAAAGTCTCTTACAAAGAGGAGATTTTTCCCCTTACGACAGTGCATGGTTGGCAAACCCATGGAAAGAGTGGCTGTGGACTTACTGGGGCCACTGTCCCAGAGTGACAGTGGCAATTCTTGGATCATGGTGGCTGGGGATTACTGCTCCAAATGGATGGAGGCGTATCCTCTCCCCGATGCCAGAGCTGAGACCGTGACTAATAAGTTTGTCACTGAGTTTATCTTTAGGTTTGGGATTTCTTTGGAATTGCACCAAGGGATAAACTTTGAATCTGCTGTGTTTGCTGAGATGTCTCGGGTTTGGGGCATACCCAAAACTCGAACTACAACGTACAACCCAAAGTCCGACGGACTGGTTGGACGGTTCAACAAGACTTTGATCAACATGGTTGCGGTGATGATTTAACCGAACAGGAGAAAACATGATTGGGGTGAGTGTCTGCCGTATGCATGTTTTGCATATCGATGCACTCCCCAGGATTCGACTGGTGACTCCCCGAATATGATGATGCTGGGGAGGGAACAAGGTTGCCAGTGGACTTGGTAGTCGAAGGTCCTACAGTACAGTGGAGGACCCGGTGAAAACAGATTTTGCCGAAGGGTAGAGGCAAAATCTGCAGGAGGCTCATGCCAGAGCTAGAGAGTGCCTCAAGCAAAGTGCCGGACACCAAAAGTGGAACTATGACCGCAAAGTGCATGGAAGAGGACTGATGGAAGGTCAGTTCGTCTGGCTTTTCAATAAGTCCAAGGAGATATTGGGCTTTAAAGAGTGCAACTTTAATGTCGTGTGACTTGTTTCCTGATGAAGTCATCATCACATGATGTCAATTTTCCTCTAAAGCACCCCCTTTTAAAGATATCTGCAAGATTTGGACCCGATCGAACATGTACTTCGGGAGAGAAGGGCCTCAAAGAGTGCACAATTAATGTCACGTGACTTGTCTCCTGGTGACGTCAACATCACAAAAGGTCAATATTCCTCTAAAGCATTGCCTTTTCAAGATATAAGCAAGACTTGAACCTGACTTAATACGTCCCCACGCAGATCATTAGGAGTCAAACCCCTTTTTAAAATCAACAAAAAAGTAGAATCCAGGCAAATATAATATTTGACATTTCGATAATGTCGATAATGTTCGTAATGAAAAAATAGAATTGTTGATGACGTCATCACTAAGTGAGCGTAATATTTGCCTAAAGCACTTCCTCTCCAAGATATAAGCAGGGTTTCAACGCGGCACTGACACCGACAGACTAATTCCGTTGAAAAAACTTAATGACTTTTTTCCATTTTTAAACAATAAGCCTAATTCCGGTTTCAACTGGAAGGAAGGGTCACGTAATTGTACCTACACGAGACGAATTTGTCCTGGCACTTGCTGGAAATAGAATGTTGCGGGAGGCCACGGTTGATTTTATACGGATTTTTATATATTTAACGGAATATTTAAATATTCAAAATTTAATAATAAGTCACTTGATGACGTTATCATGACGTAATTATTTTAGTATCATCATTGCCCTAAGGTGTTTCCTTGGTATAATTTTGATGACGATCGGAAATAGCCGATTAAGCAAATTGATGCCTCGAAAACGTTTACAAAGTCAATGGGCTGAAATAAATATTGAAAAATCAATAATAAATTACTTGATGACATCTTCCAAAAAAAAAAAAAACACACACAACAAAAAGAATGCTTTTTTGGAAAATTGCGAAAACGCCAAAATATAATAATAATAACAACAACAAAAGGTGTTCCGGCTCTTGCAGCAACAGCTAATTAAGAGAATCACTACAATTGAGCATAACTGCACACTTCACATTTTTAAATATTTGTACTCGCTGTTTTATTATTTCTAATTCTTGATTTTCAAAGTAACAGTGAACATGTAACACCGGTGCAAATCCAAAGTTGATGGTCAGGCAAACCATTGCAAAACCGCTTAACGGAGTGAAAAATATTTATAGGCCTACATCTGGTGTCATAATCCAACCCAAAATATGAACGACGCTTCAACCATGTCATTATTTGTCTGCAGTGCAGTCGATATTCATCTTTTTTATAATGTTAACCCTAACCCTCTTGAATCCTTCACCTGTTGGAGGATTGAGGAGGGTTAGGGTTAATGAACAGTCACAATTCAACCGTGGGTCGGGTCACACTTAACAATACACAATACAGTTATAGTCATGCGCAGTAACATACAATGACGTCAATTGGGGGGCGGGGGGGAATTCCCAGTTGGCCATCTCACGCTTGGATGCTTCAAAATAGTTGGTAGTGTTGGGATTATTCGAACAAAGGTAGTCACGTTGATACCTCTCTATTGCAGCAATATTCGCCGTCAATACTTCCGTGTGGTAAAACTTCCAACAGTGAATTTCATCTTCTCAAACCAGGGGAAAGACAGATTCTGAAGTTTTATTCAGACCTATTTGCCGTTTGGCGTGATCAAAGCGCAGCCCAGAGGCTCGTCAAAGGAGACAACAAACGCAGTTTGCGAGGTAAGCATAAGCATGCAGGTGGTGGTCAAATAAATAAAAGTTTAAAAGTATCAGCATATGTAATGTTGGTGACAAATTCAACGCTAGAACCTGTTTGCTGCTAAATGAATGATGACTACCGTTCCATTTCTTATCAAGCAGACGAACGACTTTTTGAAAGGTGTAATGCGTCGGTGACAGGCCTTCCTTTATTTTTAGAGCGATGATTAAGAAAAAAAATAATATTAGAATGTATGCAACAATTGAAAAAGTCACTACTCATGGCTTAAAGATTTTGCCTCATGTTTAAGGAAATCAAACACAATCATGACAGATATACTTGCTGGAATGCAAAAACGTTTGGTCTGTATACAATGAAAGAGGAGTATTGCTGTAGAATCGCCAAAACTTCAATGTTTGAAATGGTTTACTTTCCATATTTTAAATGCCTACCGGAACTTAAAAGGCAATCATCTCTTTTTTAGTTACAGAGAAGTGATGAAAAGGCTGCGTTCGTTTACATCTGACGCGGCAACCATTTTGATACTTGGTTATGCTTTTCATGCAACGAATAGAAACTATACCGGTATCCATCAACTTCTGTATGCTGTCAACATTAGACTGGCAGACATGATTGCATTCGGAAACCCCGTAACATCCTAAATCGTGTTACGTATGCACCACCAATGCGGAAGACTTGACCAATTTTGTGGAAAGAAATACTCATTGTGGTCCTGGGTTTCAGGCAGGTTTAGCTAGTAAAGCAAATCGTCCCAATCACCGGCACCGTACCGCGCATATCAAGGCAGCGTACATGCAAGCCGCTACACGGCACGCAAGGCCCGATTCCCTCGCTTTAGCCAACACAAAGGAAGACATCCAAAACTGCTGTTATACAGTTACAACAGTTCACCTATATACTAGAGGCATGTTTTTGCCTGTTCGTTCAGTAAAGTTCTCAAAACAACGAGAATATCCATACATATATGTTGAAATTTGAAGAAAACACATGGCTTATAACTTTTGTGTAAACAACGGTTTATCCAGCTTATAGGTGTTGGGGGGGGAGGACTGAAAAAATAATGCGGCTTCAGGTGAATCAAACATGACGTTCGGGGAGGAAAAAATCAAAATCCTTGCTCACGGTTCCTAAGTTATTGCTTTTATTCCATGGTGTTGTTTTCTCACGGTTCCTTTGGTACTATTTGATAAATATACCCATTATTTTCTTTCCTTTTTCACCAATTAGAGCACTCAGGAAAAATGCATCCTTTTCGATGTTTACAATTTGCTAAATAAGTAGCTATTCCCTCCACGGGGTTTCTCCTTATCAGCTGACTGAGTTGTATGTTTTGAACCTTTTATTTTTAAAACATGAAGGTTTTCAAAAATGTGTGTGCTCAATAACAGGCACTTTTTAATTAACAGTGCAGTGATTTCAGGAATTAGGATAGGCTTACATGTAGAAAAATGTTGACAAGCACTAATTTGGGGAGGGAGCCTTAAATAATAGCACTCGTTGTACCGTACTGTGAAATGTTGAAATTTTTGGACGACCCCTAATTGCAATATGCATTGCAACAACGTGTGTGAGCCTGCCTGGAACTAACCTTGGCCCAAGACGTCAGTGATCGATAGTTGTTTTATTTCTGTTGAAGAGCACCCCCGCACAACTAGTTTTTACTTACTCTCACTAACGTCTAAGGAATCTTGCAGGAATGGGGGTGCGGTCGTATTCAATATTTATTATCCTTGGTATTATAATTATGTTCATGTACTTCAAAGTTCGAACAACATGGCGGCTTCACGCGAGCAAGTACCCTGTCGATAGTGTCTGGTTTTTGGGAAGGGTTTAGAGACATGCAAGACAAATATTTTTTCACTCCATACTAGACATGAAATTGCCGCTCTTCTAAAAGATATCATTGGGGACTACAGTTGTGCTGCATTGCATCATGTTTGCAATATCTGTGGCAGAGAAATTGGGGAAAAAAATCATTGTCTAATGCCTGACACCATGCAAGAAACAAGTTGTCGTTTTTTGCAACTCAAAAACAGCACGCTGGGCCTGATGAAGCTACTAAAACAAGCGACACGTGCAGCAAGAAAACGACAACCAACTTGCAGTTCGGGTACTCCGTCCTCGAAGGTTGAAGGTCTACATGGTCTCTAAAGACACTTTAGTCAGCTGGGAAGGGCATACAGGCCGTACATGATTATGGGTCATCAAGAACAGCATCCTCTGTCATGACCCACGCCTACTCCGTGCCAACTCTTTACGAGCGTCTGTGCTGTCTGTGTTGACAGGACTGCAGACAGCCATGATGCATGTGACCTTACCAGGGTGCATTACTCAGGTCATCGGAATTTATTATACAAGCAATTTAGCGAGTGCTGATTGGTTCCCTGGAAAAGTCGAGGGAAAAATAAAGAACAAGTTAAAAGGCTGCTGCAAGATTCCCAAGACGTTAGTGCGAGCTGGCGCAAAGTATAAATATGAGTCGTTAGGGGACTTGCCAGCTCCAGCCTGTGCTCATGTTATGAATGCAATACGCAAGGAGTAAATCGACTTTAACCAAATCGAACCCTGTTATATCTCGCTCAGGTGTAGGCAGCTTGTGTCTTCCCCACCTGTACAGATTAAATCTATTGGTGATTTGTTGTCATTGTTTTGGACTTTGGTGTGAAATTACTCTCAAAACGCTAGCGCCTTAAGAGTTGGCGCTTTTTTCCAGCCGATTTTCAGGTGCCGATTGTAATCATTATACACACCGGGGTGACGTGCATTTGCGAACGTTTTCGTAATTACTTTACAACCACAAAACATTTAAAATTATTTAGTTGAAATGCATTTGATGAGAAGGTTTAATCGCGTTCGTGGCATAAGATCTGGCAAATCTACACTGTACACAATCTACACAAAAATCCTTTCTCACCAAACGACCTTATTCGGAATGGTGCATGTAATCGGAAGAAGAACTTTTTTTTCTGGCCTTCCTCCTTAATTGTGTCCTTCCTCTATAGCCTAAGTAAAACCTAAAAACAGACCAAAAAAGAAAAACCAAAAAAGAAATATCAACTCTGCGGAGTTACGCATTTCTAATGTATTAATGTTTGTCAGGAGTTTGTAGATAAAGACGACCTGATGAATGGGATGACACCTCCTTGATATAGTCTCCAACTATCCCCATCCACTCATCCCATCACACAGTTGTTGTTTGCAAGTGAGGGTTGTGCTGTGTCCCATTCACACTTGGACCTTTTTGCCTTTTTTGGCCAAACCAAGGCCTCAAGTTTTCCGTTCCGGTAACTGTTGTTGGATCGATACTGTACAGAACGGTCCTTTATATCTTGCTCCATGCAGCCTCTGATGAGCAAACGCGCCAACCAGGGTTAGCTAACCAGTCGGCGGAATGGTTCGCTAGCCCGGACGGCCCCGAGTATATTTTATTTGTATTCGGTGTGCGAAATAGAAATCCGCTTATGAGATCTTATTTACGACCTCATACGCGAGAACTTCACAAAACGTTACATCGAAACTCTTGCAATGTGCTTAGGGAGATTTAAACTGAATAAAAATCCGCATAAGTATGATAAATAATGCAACTTGAGTGCCAAATTTAAAATCAAGTGGTTGTTAAGATAATACAATATTTCCATTATGACCTATCGATTTCTTTGACCCTCACTTTTCTGATTTTAAAGGTTCTTCTGAACAGTTAAACAGACATACGACTGACCAGGAACTATACCTACAAAATCTACACAATTTCATCTAGCTAGCTTTATTTTAGACCATGTATATATTGTTTAATACGCGTTTAAAATTTGTGCCAAAAAGGAAACAAACCGCGAATATTCCTTGGACGAAAATCACCGGCTTTGCTCATTTAGTCATTATTCCTGATTTTGTAGAGTGAGAATTCATGCAATCTCTACGTAGTTTTGGATGATATGGAAATGCGCCCAGTCGGGAAGAGAAAAAATACCCAACACAAAAACTCACCACATTTCTCCGCTACAGTTTGCTTTGGAAAATTCCGGAAGCTTCATTGTTTTGAAACATTGTGCCAAAGGGTAAACAAAATCTCATCACGAAAAGATTTTGGTACATAAACACTTATTTGGCTCATTCTACATGTATTTTTATTTCCCAATTCCATTATAACGAAATACTTTAGAAACGCCTCAAATGCTACCATGGTTGCCTTGAATTGTTATTTCCAAAAGTGAAAACAGCCGAATATTTCGTACAATGAAACAGCTGCTTGCATGGCACGAATCTACATACAACCGTCATTAGGCCTACGCATGCGAATTTCCCCCAAAATGGCAGATCAAAATTTTCCCGATGAAACATACGTGGCCGTGCCCTTTCACGCTTCAGAAAACCTCAACTTCCTGATCAGACATGGTATCAAAGCGAGCTCCTTTCTATAAGCGTGGGTGTGCTGAACAGATCTACGTAGGCGCGCATGTGTGGGCCCGGGGAACAACAGACATATAAACGCATTGACCGCCAGTCTTACACGTACAACCGTGATATTGAAAAGTATGGGCAAGCAGTTGGCGAAACGGTGGACGGCAGAGGGCATTACGCGCAACGCACTTACAATGCCTGCATTTGTTTATGTGACCGGACGTGGGATTCTAGGCCGCCTCTGGTAGTGGGGTGGTAGGTCCATCCTCCAGTGATAGAAGATGAGGCACTCTCCCTTGACTGATTCCCCCAAAGAATTCAGTCGGAAACCGGATGTTGATTTAATTGATTGATTGATTTAATTATTATTTGTGGCTTTCATCTCAGCAGCTTCTTTCGGTAAACATTTCTCTGTATGCAAAAAATTGTTGCATAAGTGGTTACAACCAAAGATATTTATTGTATGCAAAATACAATACATTTAATACACTTATACATCTGGTGTACACAATGTTGTAAAAATGTCAAGTTGAAACATTGTATCAACACTCTGAGGTAAATAATGNAGAAGCTTCATTGTTTTGAAATATTGTGCCAAAGGGTAAACAAAATCTCGTCACAGAAAGATCTTTGGTACATAAACACTGATTTGGCTCATTCTACATGTATTTTTATTTCCCAATTCCATTATAACGAAATACTTTAGAAACGCCTCAAATGCTACCATGGTTGCCTTGAATTGTTATTTCCAAAAGTGAAAATAGCCGAATATTTCGTACAATGAAACAGCTGCTTGCATGGCACGAATTTACATACAACCGTCATTAGGTCTAAGCATGCGAATTTTCCCAAAATGGCAGATCAAAATTTTTCACGCTTCAGAAAACCTCAGTTTCCTGATCAGACATGGTATCCGTCAATACATAATTTTCCCATTGTTACTGGTGGCGGGAACATAAGCACTTACAACAGTAACTTTAACCCATCGTAACCAGCTTAACGTTGTACACTGTTTAGCTGTGGTCCAGAGGGAGTAGCACTGGTTGTTCAACTTCTCAAAGCGAGCTCCTTTCTATAAGCGTGGGTGTGCTGAACAAAATCTACGTATAGGCGCGCATGTGTGGGGAACAACAGACACATAAATACATTAACCGCCAGTCGTACACGTACAACCGTGATATTGAAAAGTACGGGCAAGCAGTGGGCGAAACGGTGGACGGCAGTGGGCATTACGCGCAACGCACTTACAATGCCTGTATTTGTTTACATGTGCTTCCAAAATGCCTTCACCTCATATGCTCTTCGGTAATGTTATCTCTTCCCATCAACTGTTGCAACTGCATTGTTTTGGATCCCTTTTGGCCAGATTGAGTAAATAGAGGGTAGCAATAAAAAATGGCTTCGTAGAATTGTATGGATGGAATTCTTGTGCGTACATTTCCTATACCGATCAAAGAGACCCAAACACGAAAAGTAAAAACAGTGTAAAATCGTCAGAGCATTTTCAGTGTTTCCAAGTTTTTGACATTCACCATTGGAAGCACCCCATGACAAACTCTATTCATTTAGTAAAACTAATAAATACATAACGTAGTTACACTACTCACTTTGAACGTTTGAACGCACATGTCGTGTAGATTCACTGCAGGTCTTCCATTTTCAAGCCCTACATATATTCCAAGTCCTTCGATAAACCAGATGTTTCCATAAATGTACGGCACAGATAGTTGATCAAACTGCACAAGGTGCTCCTAATTCAAATTCATTTAGGTTTCGTCCTTAACTGTGAATTTTACTGAGCTGTATTAATAAATATTGCAGTCGAGATTTGAAGCTCATTCATACCGAATCGATGTTATTACAATAAGCCTTTACGTTTTTGTCCATTCTTCAATGTGAGCTTGTTAAGATGATCTTTATATTTCATTAAGCTTTCAAAGAGTGTTTTTAATTATAGAAAAATATTTTTATACGCTATGCACCCATGTGCGACCTGACGGACAGGTGTATGAGAAGGAAATGCCCATAGGATTATTTGCCATCTCTTATGACCAAATTAGAATTATTCATTTGTTGTACATGATCTGTATTTATTATTACAGAGTGATCTGTATCATCCACTCTGCCAAGTGTCCGGTATCGTGTCCTAGTGTCATGCCTACCTCCCTTGTGCACCATGCATCTTGGCTGGTACTCGACATTCTAGTTGTGTCGTTGCCTGCTTGTTACTCCCAGAATGAACGAGTTGTGCGTCGGGTTACACCACCCTACGCGCTTAGTTTCTACTTATGTGGTAAAGTTCACGGATTTTGTTTTATCAAAGCTGTACTTCAAGGGGAAAATGTTTTTTTTTATTTCGTAGCTTGCACTGAAACAGCAAGTAAACCTTTCCATTTTTTTTACTGGACTACGTCTAATACCCCCTTTGCGATGCCCCTGCTGACGTCATGGTCTATTTACCAACAGTACAAACTATATATTAAACCATACCAAACTTTTAAAGAGTACTGCAACATTACTTCATTTCTGATCAAAAATAAGGTATTGCAGCATATTTATACCTATTATATCGCATTTACATGAAGGGGGTCGCTCTTTACATTTGTGTTGGATTTCATAAATGCACGTCCACCCGGACATATTTGTTTGTTTGTTTTTAATCCAGAGTAATGAGAAGAAATAATTCTAACAATAATTTTAAAATCAGGTTCTGAAAACGACACAATTCAGCTTTCTTTTACTCCTTCATTTCACAAATGGAAAAGCTACAGTTTGGCCTTGGTAAGTTAGAGATAATATTGACAATTTATGCTGATTATCTTTCAGATATTTCTTGCTCGGCAACCGCAGAGGGACTTACTCAGGGCAATTATTATCGCACCCTGACATTAATCGATGGACGACTCTTCGTGGGGGGAAAAGCTCAGCTGTTTTCCTTCGATACCACCAACCTGAACACGGTGAAGCAACTTAAAAAAAAAAGCACAAAAGTTGACCTCTCCTAATCTGTGTATCACTGGCTCATCCAAATCAGTGACAGACAGTTTGTATATGTTAAAATAGTTGATTTGTATCAGGCAGTGTCGCAACACCGATCAAAACCGTCACAAGTCTTTTCACAAGCGGTCATAAGTAACTAAGTGAACAATGACAAAGTAATGTTTTAACAGCTCATTTGAATAGCTTGCGAATTGGCTTAAGACTGAATGACTTGTGACGGACATAGAGGGGCTTGCAGGTATGAACCCGACTACACATCTTGTGTCAAGCAAGCTTAGCAATAAGATTACTTCATTAGAGGACCTAACCTATCTTTCAACCTATGAAAATTGAAAATTATTCTCACCTGGATCACGTTAAACCGATATTGGTTTCAACAAGAAACTGTAAAATGCCACTCCCATTTTCCACTTCATAGATTGAATCCGTTCCTGTCGAAGGATCGTGCGTCGATGTCAGTCTCGTACGTAGGATATCTTTTAACTATTGCAATATTCACTTTGCCAGTTTGATATTTTAACTTTAAAAAATAATATTGGACCGTCAAAAACAGAGAAATCTCGTTCAAGCCTTAATTTTTGAAAATGGTTAGAAGACACACAATCAATTTAACAAGATGGGCGAAAATATTCTTTACATTACGTTTACAAACGTTTCGATTCTGCAGCATGTTATTTTGGCAACTCCTGTTTATGGGATTGGGGTTGGTATGTGATAAAATAGTTTATGTACAAAGGTGTGAGAACAAGTAAACTTTTGCGAATGTAAACTGGTAAAATTGCTTTGTGAAGTGAATTACACATATTTGGGGTCAACATGCAAATGAAGGTCAAAATCAGAAGCGTAAAATGAGTGGGGCTGGCGAACAATAAGCAGCTATAGATTTCGATGGCATCGATATCAATGTACACTGTTTATTATACATGTACATACTCTGGCTTTGGAATAATGAAATATGCTTATGAACGAACAACAATTGTAATTGTCCGCCTTTTTATTATGNACTGGTCACTACATTTACATGTGCTTCCAAAATGCCCTCACCTCATATGCTCTTCGGTACTGTTATCTCTTTCCATCAACTGTTGCAACCGCATTGTTTTGGATCCCTTTGGGCCAGATTGAGTAAATAGAGGATAGCAATAAAAAAATGGCTTCATGGAATTGTATGGATGGAATTCTTGTGCGTACATTTCCTATACCGATCAAAGAGACCTAAACACGAAAAGTAAAAACAGTGTAAAATCGTCAGAACATTTTCAGTGTTTCCAAGTTTTTGGCATTCACCATTGGAGGTACCCCACGACAAACTCTATTCATTCAGTAAAACTAATAAACACATAACGTAGTTACACTACTCACTTTGAACGTTTGAACGCACATGTCGTGTAGATTCACTGCAGGTCTTCCATTTCCAAGCCCTACGTATATTCCAAGTCCTTCGATAAATCAAATGTTTCCATAAATGCATGGCACAGACAGTCGATCAAACTGCATTAGGTGCTCCAAATTCAAATTCATTTAGGTTTCGTCCTTAACTGTGAATTTCACTGAGCTGTATTAATAAATATCGCAGTCGAGATTTGAAGCTCATTCATATCGAATCGATTTAATTACCATAAGCCTTTTAAGTTTTTGTTCATTCTTCAATGTGAGCTTATTATGATGATTTTTATATTTCATTAAGCTTTCAAAGAGTGTTTTTAATTATAAAAAATATTTTTATACGCTATGCATCCATGTGCGACCAGACGGACATGTGTATGAGATGGAAAATTTGGAAAACTAATGGAAGTGGATCATTGCTTGGCTGCTTTAATGCCCATAGGATTATTTGCCATCTCTTATGACCAAATCAGAATGATTGATTTGTTGTACATGATCTGTATTTATTATTACAGAGTGATCTATATCATCCACTCTGCCAAGTGCCCGGTATCGTGTCCTAGTGTCATGCCTACCTCCCTTGTGCACCATGCATCTTGGCTGGTACTCGGCATTCTAGTCGTGTCGTTGCCTGCTTGTCACTCCCAGAATGAACGAATTGTGCGTCGGCTTACACTGCCCTACGCTCGTAGTTCCTACTTATGTGGTAAAGTTCACGGATTTCGTTTTATCAAGGCTGTACTTCAAGGGGAAAAAGCTTTTTTTATGTCGTAGCTTGCACTGAAACAGCAAGTACACATTTCCATTTTTTCACTGGACTAGGCCTAATGCCCCCTTTGCGATGCCCATGCTGAGGTCATGGTCTATTTTCCAACAGTACAAACTATATATTAAACCATACCAAACTTCAAATGACTACTGTAACATTACTTCATTTCTGATCTGAAATGAGGTATTGCAGCATACTGATTCCACTTATATCGCATTTACTTGAAGGGGGTCACTCTTTACATTTACGCTCTTCCAAAAATAAGTGTTGGATTTCATAAATGCACGTCCACCCGGACATATTTGTTTGTTTGTTTGTTTGTTTTTAATCCAGAGTAATGAGAACAAATAATTCTAACAATAATTTTAAAATCAGGTTCTGAAAACGACAAAATTCACCTTTCTTTTACTCCTCCGTTTAACAAATGGAAAAGCTACAGTTTGGCCTTGGTAAGTTCGAGATAATATTGACAATTTATGCTGATTATCTTTCAGATATTTCTTGCTCGGCAACCGCAGAGGGACTTACTGAGGGCAATTATTATCGCACCCTGACATTAATCGATGGACGACTCTTCGTGGGGGGAAAAGCTCAGCTGTTTTCCTTCGATACCACCAACCTGAACACGGTGAAGCAACTTAAAACAAACAGCACAAACGTTGACCTCTCCTAATCTGTGTATCACTGGCTCATCCAAATCAGTGACAGACAGTTTGTATATGTTAAAATAGTTGATTTGTATCAGGCAGTGTCGCAACACCGATCAAAACCATCACAAGCGGTCATAAGTAACTAAGTGAACAATGACAAAGTAATGTTTTAACTGCTCATTTGAATAGCTTGCGAATTGGCTTAAGACTGAATGACTTGTGACGGACATAGAGGGGCTTGCAGGTATGAACCCGACTACAGATCTTGTGTCAAACAAGTTTAGCAATAAGATTACTAAGGACCTAACCTATCTTTCAACCTATCAAAATCGAAAACTATTCTCACCTGGATCACGTTAAACCGATATTGGTTTCAACAAGAAACTGTAAAATGCCACTCCCATTTTCCACTTCATAGATTGAATCCGTTCCTGTCGAAGGATCGTGCGTCGATGCCAGTCTCGTACGTAGGATATCTTTTCGATTCTGCAGCTTGTAATTTTGGCAACTCCTGTTTATGGGATTGGGGTTGGTATGTGATAAAATAGTTTTTGTACAAAGGTGTGAGAACAAGTAAACTTTTGCGAATGTAAAATTGCTTTGTGAAGTGAATTACACATATTTGGGGTCAACATGCAAATGAAGGTCAAAATCAGAAGCGTAAAATGAGTGGGGCTGGCGAACAATAAGCAGCTATAGATTTCGATGGCGTCGATATCAATGTACACTGTTTATTATACATGTACATACTCTGGCTTTGGAATAATGAAATATGCTTATGAACGAACAACAATTGTAATTGTCCGCCATTTTATTATA